TCTGGTTTGGTCTTGTCTGCTAGGGCCTAGTGCAGGAGCTCAGTCCAAAATAATGCTTCCCCCCTACTCCGAAACTGTGTTAAACAGTAGTAAATGTTCGAATGAATTGATCAGTGGTTGATGGGGCCCAGATTGTTGTCTGGGCTGTCAGATTCGCTGGCCAGGCACTATTAACCAGCAGGTATGGGCCACTCACGGATTTTTACAATGTCATATATCAGGGATTGGTTCCTTTTTCTTCATATTTTACAAGGCAGTTATTCTTCATTAAATGGAAGGGAAATAAAATACCATCTTATGATTCTTGTATTTAGGTCTGTGATAAGTAATTTTTGAGTGAATAAAGTACTCAAAACTGGGAGATTTTCTCATTTGCTCTCTCATAGAATAATTAATACAGTTTTATTGAAATTAAAATAGACCTAGCTAAGAGTGTGATACAGATAGGTGTTCAGTGAATGTCAGCTAACATTATTTTTAACTAACAGCAGTATCTCTTCTATTACTTGTTTTACATTTATTTGTGTTTGTTTATTCTTCCCCACCAGATACACTTTCTGGGCAAAGACCTTATTACTGGACATTATTTTTGCCTCACTTTCTATAAGAGGTTAGTTATATGTTGAATGGTATGGTGGGGCCAGCTAAAATGTGTTCATACTGGCTTTGACTTTAAAAGGTGTGGGACTGTTCTAGCAATGGGGTATTGAAACTCAGAAAGTCAACCTGAGAGTCCAAGAAAGAGGAGAAACACCAAAATTGCTATCTTGTTATGCTAGACATGCTTTTTACTAAAAAAATTATATTTGGCATTCTTACGAGGTATATTTCTCTGAAGCTAAGCTACATTTCTATAGTGTCTTGCAGTCTCATAAATAGAACATTATATGTGAATAATTGAAAACATTGATGATGTAATCTCGTCAATAGAAGTGAAAAGAAGAACATAGAATTTCAGCCTGATTTAGGAGGTAAGGCTGGGAAAAGCAGTAGGGAAATAGAGCTGTATCTCAAGCTAGCTTCTCATTTCTGGAAAGCTAGAATTTGGAGGCTTACAAGAGATGTCAAGGACCAAAATAGTAAATCCAAATACAATCAGATTAGGATAATATTGGTAGATTAACAATGAATCATTTAGATACAACCTGTTCTCAGGTTAAGTGTTTTCATATAGCAGAATTCTTTATTTCATATAGATTTTGGATGTTGTGGATAATTAATATTAAAGGACATCTTACTAGGGAAAATTTTATTACCACTGACCTTGTAAAATCCCCTATAGTAGAAAATTATGTATTTCATGAGATTAAACTCTGTCATTTCTCTCATCAGACTACAGAGGCATGTAAACTGAGTGAAGTGAGCTGTTGATGAGGTGAATGGTCTGTAATGTATTTGAAATTACCTGCACTCATGTTGACTATCATAAAGCTGCATGATCCCCTCCTCCCCGCCCCCTCTTCTTTTTGGCAAAATACTTTTTTTTTTTTTTACTAAGCAGTTATTTTTCCTGGCTTGACTTTGGTCTGTGATAGTTCTCTAAATTGGGACTTCTGTGGTTTCATGATGTCATTTTTCTTTTCTTTTTTCCCTGAATGGTATAAATAATTTTTATTTAGTAGTAGTATTTTAATACTTAGGCCTAGAGACAGCAAGATTACAACATACCGAGATCATTATTTGGAACCCAAGGATAAGTACATCTGCGATGGGATTTTAGCAGGGAGAGGTCCTTAGAGATTACCCAGTTTGTTCCTCTATTCAGTGATTTGTTCATTATTCAAATATTTCAGTGTCTATATGCTTTTCTTTGCGATATTTTTCCCCAGATGTTGGTAATAACACTTTCGATACAACTATGTCCAGCCAAAAACCTTAGAAGAGTACTGTCCAACATAGTAGCCACTGACCACATGTTACTATTTAAATGAACATTAGTTAAAATGAAGTAAAATACTCAGTTCTTCACTCACATTAACTGGATTAACATTAACTGGACTCACATTAACTGGACTCACATTAACCCACATTCAAGCTGGATCCAGTGCTCCCTGTGGCTAGAGGCTGCCTTGCGGGACAGTGTCACTGTGTAGAACATTTCTATCACTGCAGGACATTTATTTGGACAGCACTGCCTCAGAGCACTCCTTGACTCCAGGGGACATCTCAGCATCCCCATCGCACTTAATCTCCTGAGACCTGTGTCTGTCAGATTTGTTCCCTTTAAAAAAATCCTCCCTTGTCTTAGTTTAGGTCTTCATCATCTGTAATCCGAATTACGGCTTAAATTCAGTGACCAGCCTTGTGAAGCTGTCCCTGCTGCTGCCCCTCCACCTGCAGCCACCTTCTCCCTTGTGCTCTGTGCATCCCCTGCATACACCTGTTAGAGTGCTGGTCCCATGGAATGCTACCTGCTTGTTTATAGGCTTTTCTTCTGGTGGACAGAGAGGTTCTTGGGAGTGCAGGATTGGGCTTCGGTTTTTTCCAGGGGTAGGGACGTGCACAGTGACTGACACATAACCACATATATACATGTTTATTGAGCAGGTAGAGACATGGATGGATGGAGGCCATAGCAGGTTGCAGTTTGAGGGCAAGAGACCTTTGGATACCTGGAAACTAGACGACAGGAGGGAATTTCTGACAGGAGGAGCATAATGGATGCAAGGCCAGAGGTAGGAAGTTACAGGGCAGTTCTGCTCCTGGACAGTAGCCACAGGAGAGCACTATCAGCACCATTCACAGTGTAGCCATTGATGGACACAGAATTAGAGTGATGGTGTTACATAGAAAGAAGCATGCTTCCCTGTGCTGGCCAGTATTGCACCTCTTAGTAGAGGTGCTGTGTTTCCACTTAGCAACCTTAACCTGTGACTTCAAAGGAGTTACTGATGTGCTCTCCACTGTCAAATGTGTAGCTATGTATTCACAAAATCTAGTTAATTCTTCAAGACTTCTATGGTTCCTGACTTATGTTAGAAATGTTAGCAGTTCAGCAGCAAAGAAAAATGCATGTGCCCATGTCCAAAAGGATAGTAATATGCCCTTTATCTACAGTCTAATGCAGATACTGCTTACTTTCTTCTCTTTTTTGTAGAGACAGGGTTTTGCCATGTTGCCCAAGCTGGTCTCAAGCTCCTGGGCTCATGATCTGCCTGCCTCAGCCTCCCAAAGTGCTGGGATTACAGGTGTGAGCCACACAGCACCTGGCAAGAACAGTTACTTTCTGGCCAGACTTATCCTGATTCCTCTTTCTCCTAGCTGTGATCCTAAACAACTCACTTATGATCCTGATTTCTTCATTTTTAAATGGAGATATTACCTGCCTTTGAGGACTAAGTTAAATGTATATGAGGTATTAGCTCTATGCTTAGACCTGAGTAAAGCATTTACTGAATATTAGCTAATAACAAAAATAATAAGTCCATAGCTTTTCACACAAATGGGAAAATTTGCAATTTTTCACAAAGGGAGACTTACCACGTGATTCTTAAACATAAATGGTCATCCAGAAAATGCAAACAATGCTGGACATTTTCCTTTTCCTTAGGCACAGTTAGCTACATATAACCATCTCTTAAGTGAAATGTATAGTGCTGCTTAATCAGAATCATCAAGTTGAATCAGCTGATCTAGTAGAGGTGAAATTCGACCTAGATAATCTAAACTCAGGGATAATTTTCTGTATTTGGAAATAAGGTGATCACTTATGCAGATTACTTAGGAAAAAACTCCCTTTTCTCTTTTACTCAGCATCAAGAACATGCTTTACGGCTGCTCCGAAGGAAGAGAAGAAAATTGTGTGCCTGCTTTAGTTTTAAATAAGTAAAACAGGATGTATAAAATAGAGTATCGCTGAATGGTAATTCTATTTTTTTTTTTTTTAAACTGTTAAAAGGGTGGTTGCAGTCTTAACTGTGTGGGTTCTTAGAATCCACTGGCCTATGTAGAATTCATGTGGGTCCAGATAATTCCTTTTAGTAGACTCAAAGTTGCTTTTCTTCCGTAATGAAATGGTACAGTTTCTGCCTTCTCATGCCTAGACCTCCTTTCCCAAGCCTCGCTCCTCCCACCCATGTTTGACCTTCCTGAAACTGCACCCCACCCCACTTCTGCGCCACTGTGCTCTCGCTTTCTTGCTTCTACCTTATTAAAATTATCTGCATTTATTTGTTACCCTCACAAGACTGTGAGTACCTTCACGAACAGGCATTTTCTTATTCATTTTTATGTGTTCAGTGTTTAAAAGAGGGGCTGACTTCTACAAGATGCTTGTTAAAGTCTTGCTGAGTGAATAGATGCCTGTTCACTAAAATTTTCTTGTGTGTGTTCTTCCCAAGTAAATCATAATTCTGAGTAGGAAACTATATCATGTTTCTTTTTACCTTATAGCTGTAGCACATTGGTACACAACATTGACCAGTTTGCTCTGTAGCCTTGCTATTAATGTCTAGTGTCCTGGACATACTTTCTAGGGTATGTTTGGCAGTTATTAAATGTGTTACTGTTTTACACCTGCACCTACTATTAGAAGTATTTATAAAATGATCACCAAGACTTTTATTGAACTTGCATATTGTTATGGGAAAAATGGATACAAATACTCTTATTAGATACAGTTATGTGAATGATTACTGTTATTTGATTCACTCTGGAGATAGTAATCAAAACCTAAAGTATGTGCGTTGTTGAGTAACTGAATTGAGTAGTTTAGTTTAATACACTTAAACTTGACTTTTTCTTTTTTTGCCCTTTGGCTATTATTTATGGTGAGTCCTTGAAGTTAATTTCAGAGGTTTTTCCTGGATAGGGGGTTGGAATTACACAGGATTTCACACACTTTATTAGTTCCTTAGTTAAACTAGTTAAAAAAGAACTAGTTCAGGGATTAGAGCTTCCTTGAAATTGTTGAAATGTGAAATTTGAATTTAAGACTTTGTTGAAGACTTGAATGCATTTTGCCTACTGCTAATTTTTTTTTCTTTTCTTTATACTTTTAGTTTTGATTGCTGTTACTACTACTGATAACTGAGCCAAAGTGGTGATGCTACTTGAGGGGAATTTCTGCAACCCATAGTCAACGAGTATATGGTAAGAATGTGTGCCTTTTACCCTTAAAGCCATTTAATTTCTGTATAATTATAGTTTAGAAATTTAATTAAAAATAGAATAGCATAAAATATTTTAATATTTTTGAATGTTAATTTAATATTAATATGCTTTAATAAATACTAACAGCAGATAATATTTTAGTGCTTTCGATCCTAATCAATAGTTTGTGACTTTGAAAGAGAAAAAAATAACTTGATATATTCATTTCCATATTAATTTTTTTGTGTGAAAAATATGATTATGTAGTTTATGGCTTATTAAGCAGAGATCTCAGTTTTCCTCCCTATGTTTTTGCCCATTTACTTTTTCTTTCCTGGAGTTAACCAATTCTTTGCTATCTTAATCTTGCTAATAATGAATGGGTGTGAGAAGTCAAGATTTAAAAACTTAAACCTAGTCAGTTTTACTATAATTTACCCTGAACTGAGGTGGTGGTGATTGTAATAGTGGCTAAAATGAGGTTTTTAAATTATTTATGGATTTCAATGAGCTGTCTTGCTCTAATTTTAAGGGGTAATTGAGGAGTAATGAGACATAGCAGACTAGCAGGCCAAGTCATTTATTTGAGCTTCACTTTCTTCATGTGCAAAATACTATCATCTGTCTTGCCTGATTTATAAAATAGTAAAAATCAAATGAGATGATGAATATGGAATTTTCCTTCTCTTTCTTTTTTCTTTTGGAAGGATAGGGAGAGATTAACAAGTCTTTTGGTTTTAAGATGGTATTGAAAGAGAACATAAGGTCGAAGAAAGGATATTATACCAGAAGCTGGAAGACCTGATCTCTAATCCTAGTGCATCTTGACCTTGGGCATATCATTACATATTAATTTACCATAGGAAAATTGAACTTGATTTCCATACTTCCACTTTACAGGTAGCATTTTCAGGAATATATCTGTGTTCTCTGACCACAATTTAATTAAGCTAGAAATCAGTATCACATACCCAAGAAATTCCAAAATATTTTGAAATTAATGATCACATTCTGAAAACCCATGGATTAAAGAGGAGCTTACTAGGGAAAATACCTTGAATCAAATGAAAATGAAAGCATAACATACCAAAATGTATGAAATGCACCTAAAGCACTACGTTAAGGGGAAATTTATAGTGTTAAATGCTTGTATTAGAAAATAAAAGTTAAATAGCTTTTGGGCCTTTCCTGTATGTCATGATGGATTACAGGCTGATTGTAGTTCTGATAAATGGCTTCTTTCTCTTCCTATCCAATTAATGTGAAGAGGGGAAATAGTTAATTTTTTTTTGTCAGATAAGCATTTATTTTTTAACACTAATACTGTCTAGTATTTGTGTTCCACTTTACAGTTTTTGGAGGGTGTCATCTCACCACAGTCTTTTGAGATAACCAGGCAGATATTACTGCTTTCATATTTAAAATAAGGACTTGAGGCTTATCAGATCTCAGCTCTTGAAGAACTAGGGGCATCTGCTTGCCACACCATCTGCCTTGTTTGGCTGCCGTGCTACATTTCCAGGTCACTTGAAGAAGTGCTATCTGTGTTTAGACTGTCGTAGGTGACACACTCTGATTAGCTTGGGAGGCAGATTCTCTTTGATGAGGGAATTCTCTAGGAGGAGTACTTTTTTGGGATATTTCCATTGCTGTTTGTATTATGACCATCAGCGGTAGCCTTTTATTAAGTACTGTTTTGGAGCTCTGCCTGTCTAGTTGCTAAATGTGTCTTTCCTATCTCATTTCTTTTATCATGATATTTAATCCTGTGTGTGGCTAACAGTTGACTTATTTTTACTTGACCTTCATGTTAGAATATACATATTAAATAAATGTTCAGTGATCTACTTTGTCATACTGTTGTTATCTGTCTACACAGATTCATTTCTAAACAGCTTTATTGAAGAATAATAAATTTATTATACGGTAATAAATATGGTAAACTATGCTTATTTAAAATGTATAATTTGATAAATTATTTAAAGTATGTATACACTCATGAAACCATCACTGTAGTTGAACTGGTGACCATTGTTTTCTCATGGCCCTTGGTCATTTCTCTTATATCTCTCTCCTACCCTCACATAACCATTGGTCTGCTTTCTGTCTCTATAGATTAGTTTATATTTCCTAGAGTGTTATGTAATTGGAATAATACAGTATGTAGCCTTTTTGTCTGGCTTTCATTCAGCATAATTATTCATTCAGCATAGAGATTCAGCTCTCTTGTTGCGTGTATCAGTAGTTCATTCCATGTTATCGTTCAATAGTATCTCACTCTATGGATGTAGTGCAGTTTATTTATCCATTCACCTGCTAATGGACAGTTGTATTGTTTTTAGTTTTTGGCTGTTACAAATCTGCATGAACATTCATATACAAGTCTTTATGTGGGCCTATGCTTTTTTTGTGTGTGGGGGGTAAATATCTAGGAGTAGAATGGCTGGATCATGTGATAAGTGTATGCTTAACTTTTTAAGAAGCTTGCAACCCGTTTTCCAAAAATTATTTTAATTGTCTTGAGCAGTGGATGATAGTTGCAGTTTATCTACATTCTCACTAGCACTCTGTGTGGACAATCTTTTTAAGTTTAGCCATTCTCATCAGTGTGCAGTCATATCTCCTGCAGTTTGAATTTGCCTCTCTTTAATGACTAATGCTGTTGAGCATCTTTCATGTGCTTGCTTGCCATCTGCATGACTTCTTCAGTGAAGTGTCTGTTCAAATCTTGTGCCCATTTTAAGAAATTGGATACTTTATTATAGAGTTTCAAGAGTTCTTTATATATTCTGTATCAGACCTTTATCAGATATATGATTTGTACTTTTATTAGCATTTTTTTCCTTTTTACTCCAGAATGAAATTTTCAGGAGCGATATGGGATTATTTTTTGTTCTTATTTTTCACACTTTCCCCAACCCCTATAAAAGTCTTTGTCATCTTCTTCCTTTTTTTCCATTTTCTGTCAGGGCACTTAGTTTTTATTCTCTTTTTGGGGGGCTGTACATGAGTTAATACATGTGAGGTGGTCCCCCCTCCCCTTCAGGAGAGAAGATTCTTAATTAGTGAATATGTTTGCATGGCTGCGATGGTCAACTCTCTATTTCTAGAGGCTGGAGATCTTCCATTCCAGTTGTTTTCAGTATTGACTTGGCGTCCCTGGGGCATAGTCAAAAGCCTTTCCTGAAGTACTTCAACGTCAGAAGCCAGAACAGGGCCAGATTCAGGTTCAGTGATGAAAATGCTGGAAACACATCCCCTGATTATTACATGTTCGTTTCTAATTTGATTGTATTGTGCTTACTGTGTGATTGCAATTTTCTGTGCGATTGCAATTAACTTTTGTGTGTGACCTAATTCATAGCTTTGTTTCTTAAAACTTTTCCATATGTTTTAAAAATAGGCATTCTCTCATTTATGTATAACATTTAAAAATAACTATCAATTAACACTTGTTAATTGTATTATTTTTCAAATCTTGTTTTTTGTTGGTTTCTGAGAAAAGTATGTTGGGTCTTCTGCAAAAGGGTAATAAAAGTTCATAATTGTCATTTTTAATTTTTTTAAACCAATTAAATATATGTGTCTTCCCCTCCATCTGTTTTTGTTGCCTTTACCTTGAGTTTCTATTGTGTCTTAGAGTCTGACACTCCCCTTTGTAGTTTTCATTTGCCTGGTGCCATATTTTTAATCTCTTCATTTTCTCACTCCTGGTAATTTCATTTTAGATATATTCTTGAATATTTATCTTAAAAAGCCCGAATGACTCAGTTTGTGTGTTGCTTTGTTCAGTGGAGACCGTTTGGTGAGTGGTAAGGAAATGGACTGAGTCCAGGTTGCCTGGGGTTGAATTCAGGCACTGCATAAACTGGCTGTGTGGTGTCGGTTAAGTTTACTTAACTCTTGGTGCCTGTTTCTTCCCTATACAATGGAAATATTAATAGTTTTCTATCTCATTTTATAAGAAATAAATGAGTTAATATATGTAAAATTCTTAACAGTGCTTGGCACATTCTGTAAATGGTTTGGCTGTGTCCCCACCCAAAATCTCATCTTGAGTCATAATCCCCATAATCCCTATAATCCCCAAGTGTCAAGGGAGATACCTAGTGGAGGTAATTGAATCATGGGGGCGGTCTCTCCTATGATGTTCTTGTGATAGTGAGTTCTCATGAGATCTGATGATTTTATAAGTGTTTGGTAGTTCCTCCTAGATTATTCTCCCTCCTGCTGCCTTGTGAAGAAGGTGCCATGCTTCCCCTTTGCCTTCCACCATGATTGTAAGTTTTCTGAGGTCTCCCCAGCCATGTGGAACTGTGAGTCAGTTAAACCTCTTTCATTTCTAAATTACCCGGTCTCAGTATCTTTATAGCAGTGTGAAAATGGACTAATACAGTCTTAGCCATTAATAGGTGAATTCGCCCATTAACACTTATTATGATTATTTGGAAGGCCATAATCACTATTAGTGCCTTTTTTTTTTTTGTTAAAAAAATTAATCCTTTCTGTCCATTGATGACTTTATTATAATTTTTTCCTGTAATGGTTCATTATTGATATATCCAGTATTTACCAGTTGTTTGTACTAAGTCATATTGTTTATGCAAATAATACCTGAATGTATACATCTTTTAAAAACTTGAAACACATTTGCAATTAAAGTACCTTTTGAGTCTCACCTCTGTGCCTCCCCCCTTAGAGTAATTCGTTTTCTTCTCTCTCTGACACACACACACACACACACACACACACACACACACACACACTCTCTCTCTCTCTCTCTCTCTCTCTCATTTTCTTTCTCTGCCCCTCTCTCCTTCTCCCTGTCTCTCTCATATACATGTAGGACTGACTACATAGTACTTTTTACTAAATGAAATACTGTAATTCTGAACCTTGTGTTTTTCAGTCATTGCTGTGTTTTAGAGGTCACTCTGTAGATATTTATCTTGTTTCTTTTAACAGATGCCTTTCCTCTATTTGTAGTCATTTCCAGTTTA